TATATTTATCCAGGATTATAATGCAAGCTAGCACTGAGAATGACAAGCCCCTTAGGCACATATTGCTTATGTTGCTCCATATCGGCCTCGGTGAGGACTTATTATTTCGCAAGAGCAATGTGCTAACAGACTCACTCTACACGTCCTCTCGCAGCTGGTAAGCTTTATGTAGGAAAGACCACTTCAAAACCTAGCTCCGGCCAGATATTTTTTAAATTACCATATCCAAAGACCAGAGAAAAAGGTAGAAAAATAGTTAGACGAATATTATCAAGAAAATATAATGATTCTAAAATGAATAAGCTGAGAAATACCACAAAGTAGACCCTGATGAGCCACTGCCTAAGACTGTTACAAATTGCAACACAGCTTTCATCGACCGTCCATAAAACGAGCCGACCAACTCGGCACATTTTAGGGTTGTTGATGAGACTTTCATTTCGACTGTAAATGCGTGATAAAGAGATTGGAAGGTCGAAGGTCAAGAAACTCCTTTAACCAGTGCAAACTTGAGACTTTCACAAGAATGAGTCCCAGCTCTGATGATGCCCATCATATAAAGGACGAAATTTCAGCCCATTTTCACCCAAAATGAGAAGGATTTCTTGTAGACTGCGTTAGTTTGAACGTCGTATTAAGGCCAAACGACTGCAACACAACTGGGATCAGCCGTCGTCTTTTCATGAGATCAATCTTGGAAATTCTTCATCATGTACTTTCATGCGAACTGATATTCTTCCCAGAAATAATGATAGAAGCCTGATTGAGAAGCAAGTAGTCTGAATCGTGGTAATAGTTTGAAACGAAATAATTTTGATTTTGATAAGAGATGAAGGATTGGCAGTTGAATTTTCCCACAATGATATGAGTATAGCTGACGTTTTCAATGAATTTCGCAAACCTTGCTTTTTCAAAACACGTTATCATCCAGAATGGACTGCAGTTTCAACTTCACCTAGTTTTTATCAACACCCCCAGCGGGAGTCGAACCATGCTTATCATATTAGCTTTATACAAACTTATTTATATTTATATGCCGATTCAGATCGAGGGCTGTCTCACAATTGGAGTAGTAGAGATCAAGTTAAGAGCAGATAAGTGACAGAATACTGCTGACGATGAAGCAATATGTTAGGACAGTCAATTCAAAGCAAATCTCTCCAATACAAGAGTGACTTGGGCGTAATAGACTCCCGTTTATTAAGCAATAAATATATTTAAATGATTTATTCTTCAAGGCATGATCTTCTGGTAGAAATTGCTATGAGATGAAAAAGAACGAAATGAACGAACAAGATGCGAAGATTAGTTGGGTCTCTTAAGGTAACGTTGTCGGAGAGGATTTTATTTCGTAGGAAAATGCATGGTATAGAGACTTTTTGGTTAATCTCACCGAAAGATGAAAAGTGATCCTCTTTGTTCTGCAGCCATTTGACTTTAATATAACATCCATTCTGACACAGTCATCGAGACACCTTCCATCGTTCGGGTGAAGCCGGGCTAAGCTTTCATCCATCACATGATGGACATCACCAGAACAGGGACTCACTCTTCTAAAATTCTCATATTAACACTACGTCAAGAAGACTGTCAGACTCTATGTTGACTTGAGACTTTTAGAAGAATGAGTTCCAGTTCTGATGATGCCCAGTTTTACTCGAAACAGAGAAGGGTGTCTCTTGGACTGCACCAACAGGAACGTCGTATTAAAGCCAAACGCCTGTAAAACAACGTAAAATCGGCCGTCGTCTTCCGGTGAAATCAACCTTGAGAGATCTTCGTTATACAATTTCATACGAAATGAATGTCTTCTCAACAAAGCAAATAAAACAGGAGTCAGTAAATTAGAAAGAAATAAAAAAAGATAGTCTGTATAAATTTATGGATAAAAACATAGGTAGACACATTGCTAAAAGAATAAATTGATAGATTGATAAATGAAGGGGAATAAGGATTATTGTAGAGGTGGTTCAAAAGAGACCGACAGTTTTTGATAGCATCATATTCCTATCATTGCAAGACCTTTATTTCTATTTTCTGGCCTCGAACTGTCCCAATAGCGGATATTGTAAAAGTGTCTTAATGATGCAGCAAAATAAAGCGGCCAAATGTGCTTATTCTAGTTTACTATTAGCTGATTTTACTTCGTTCCAAAAACTATATGGAATATGAAGGAAGCAAAGACCCAACTGTCAAGAATAAGTTATTTAATGTCTCTGCTCAAGGTCGCCAGTTTTGGCGTCATATTTGAATTGAAACTAAAAATCTTTTTTGAACAATGACATTTAAAGTTGTGATGTAAGCTTCGCCTATTCTCATAACTTACATCGCCGTGTTTTACAGCCGATTCAATAGCCTACATGGTACATACAAGGCTCAAAAATGAACTTGTCACTAAGGCTAGTTGTTCTCTAGCTTCCATGCCAACTCCCTACCCGCCAACTTTATATCCTACTTATGAATTGTATTTACCCTAGGCTGCACAATTTGATGAAGGGTTGATTAATGAATTTACCAATATGATATAAATAGGCCTCTCGATGTCATTGAAGTTTACTTAGCCGTGCTTTACAGAAGGTATTCTCTTTCGATCTAGTCACCTCAAAAGGAAAGCAAACCTGGATGGTTGAGCGTTTGATTTCAACATGTTACTACTACACCAGACACCCATGACTTCCAGAGAGCCATAGGATGAACGTGCCTTTTGGGACCAAGCGTGCTCGTGTCTGTCGAAAATGTACGCTGCTCTACTCACGTTTGGTTCCCGTTTGTGGTACTGGTTAGATACGGGCGAGGTAGGATATACAGTCCATCCCGAATGAGGCAAATTTAAGTGAAATTCATTTGCATCGTAAGGCCTACTTATATCATTGTGGGAAAAATTCAACAAAAATCTCTACTTAATCTAATACGGCAATATTTGATTACAGATCTAATTTAAGAAGTTCTGTTAGTGTGAAGCCTAATCATTCTTGATAATTAAATCCCATACATTAGGCAATTTGGGAGAAATGCAGGCTTTTATCGGGTGAGGTTGTATTCAAAAAATGTTAGCTAGGTATATCTATACTAATTTTTCGTGTGTAAGGAGAATTTCGAGACTATCAGTAAATAGGGTGAAAACATCTCATATATGTATACGAAGTCTTAGTTCACTTACGTAATAGCATGGAATTTTAGGAGCTTTTCTCTATTAGCTTCACAATTGAGCAAGGATTCAGGCAGTTATCGGTCCTATGAGATGTATTCCCCAAATTTCGTTTAAGGTAATGAAGGATTGGTAGAAGAAGAATTTTCCCACAATGATATGAGTTGAGCTGACGTTTCCATTGAATTTCACATAGCTTTGCTTTCTCTAAAGTGCTTTTTAATGCAAACGTCAACACAACTCATATGATTGTGGAAAAATTTTTCTACAAATCCTTCATCACCTTAAACGAAATTGGGTGAATACATCTCATATTACTGATTTACTGGTAGTCACGAAACAAAATTCTTCTTCTACGATTCCTTCATCACCTTAAACGAAATTGGGTGAATACATCTCATACTACTGATTTACTGGTAGTCACGAAAACAATACTTAATTCGCCAAAATAAAGTTATTGGTCCATTTGAAAGAGAGAAACAAAGTGCAACTTGTAAGTATTTCTGAATGAACGCCTACCTAAAATTTTGCAAATTTTATCCAGGCCTATGTAATTTATTCAAATATTTCTCAGCATAATGTTTCACTACAAACACCAATAAAATGCACTGTGTGATTGCAGATAAGTATGCATTACAAATGTTAATGTTAATAATTTCTCACCGCACAAATCGTTCCAATGCAACTCCGTTTAAGGCTAAATGTGCTAGCTAGCAGGAAAGTTTGTAAACGTATAATTCAGGCAAATCATTTGGAGCACAGAGAGGGAATAGGAAATGACTTTCTTTTAAGATGCAATTCGCTACATCATCCACTAAGAGCAAATAACATCGGTTTGAAAATGATTACTTTGACATTTTGGGAAGTAAAAATATGTGAAGAGGTTGTTTGACCTTGTTTTAGCAACATGGTCATATTGATAGGAAGACTTAGAGGAACGCACCTAGTCCGGAGCCCATTGTCTGCATGACAATTTCCAAAGTTAAACCGTGGACGTGGCAATTTCTCAGACATTTCGCCGGCATCGTAGTCGGCATCGTCAGTGAGTCCCGCTATTCTCAACTCGTCAAAGAGACAAGTGAAGCCGATTCTTTGACCAAACGTGTTCTAAACAATTGTGGTATCTCCCCTTCTGCCCTGGGTTATTCGCGTTTCCGGTATCATCCTATCATGCCTT